CCCTTTCTCAATTTTTCTATTTCTGTTTGGTTTGTCTATCTTTCCTTCCTTCCTTCCTTCCTTCCTTCCTTCCTTCCTTCCTTCCTTCCTTCCTTCCTTTCTTCCTTCTCTCTTTTTCTTTCTCTCTTTCTCTTTACTTCTCTATCTCTCTTTATTCTTTCTTTCCTTCCTTCTTTCTTTTTATTTCTCTCTCTTTACTTCTCTATCTCTCTTTGTTCTTTCTTTCCTTCCTTCCTTCTTTCTCTCTTTTTCTTTCTCTCTTTCTCTTTACTTTTCTATCTCTCTTTGTTCTTTCCTACCTTCCTTCCTTCCTTCTTTCTCTCGTTCTATTTTCTTCTCTATCTCTATCTCTGTCTATGGTCTTTCTTTCTTCCTCATTGTTGCTTTTCTCTCTCTCTCTCTTCTTCTCTAACTCTATCTTCCTTCTTTCCTTCTTTCTTTTTCTCTTTTTCTTTCTCCCTTTCTTTCTCTCTTCTTCTCTATCTCTCTCTTCCTTCTTTCTTTTTTCTTTTTCTTTCTCCCTTTCTTTCGCTTTTCTTCTCTATCTCTATCTGTCTTTGTCCCTTCTTTCTTTCTTTCCTTCTTTCTTTCTTTCTCTCTTTTCTTTAGTTGTTTCTCTTTTCTTTCTCTTTCTCTTTTCTCTATCTCTGGCTTCATTCCTACTTCCTTCCTTCCTTCCTTCTTTCCTTCTTTCTTTTTTTCTTTTCTTTCTCAAACTCGCTTTCCAGATTTCACTGCAGGCTTTCCTCTCCTTCCCCGCCTTGCCCCTGTCAGCCACTTAAAATTCTGCTCTCCTTTTCAGCTTGTGCAAAGGACGCACCCTCTACTCGGTGGTGAGAGATGTCAAAACCGTCCTGGATGTCAACAAAACACGACAGATTGCTCAGGAGATTGTCAAGGTAGGGGAGAGGGGGAGGAGGAGGGCTTGCTCTCAGCATGTCCAGGGCAGTCTCCAGCGGGTAATTTCATGCCAGGAGAAGAAATCGCCACTTACAATCCCCAAATCTCGAAGCTGGTGTTAAAAATAAATAAATTCCACCCCGCACATTTAAAGCTCCTGAAACAATGGAACTCCCTTGAAATAATCCATCTGTAAACCCAGAGACAGATGGGCAACCACCACAGATGTTAGTCTTCTTCATCACACTGGCCAGTTGCGGGAAGCTCTTCCCATCCACGACTCGGGGGAGGCCCGTGTGGAGCGTTTCTGGGAAAATTCACCCAAGGAAGGTTCCCACCATAGGGGAGCATGGGAACAACTTTGTATCCCCTGAGCGGCGGTGACACAGTGGTTAGAGTGCAGTACCGCAGGATGCTTCTGCTAACTGCCAGCTGACTGCAATTTGGCAGTTCGAATCTCACCAGACTCGAGGTCGACTCAGCGTTCCGTCCTTTCGAGGTGGGTTAAATGAGGACCCAGATTGTTGGAGGGCAAGAGGCTGACTCTGTTAACCACTTAGAAAGGGCTGGAAAGCACTGTAAAGCGATATATAAGTCTAAGTGCTATTGCTCCTCCTTTTCTCCTTCCTTCCTTCCTTCCTTCCTTCCTTCCTTCCTTCCTTCCTTCCTTCCTTCCTT